TGGAAATGGAAACTTTTTGTATTCAATCAGTGACCATCCAGATTACAACTTCAATATATAAATAAGGAATCCAAATGGATATGGGTTTGAAAAGGTTGATGGATCAACCATAACAGTCCGAGTAGAAAGTGGAAAAAAGCGGCAGAGGTTGTATTTTCTCTTCCCAGGTATAGGCGGGGGGGAAAAGCTATTCTAGCATCAGCATGGATTGAACATCAAGGAACTCACTGTTGAAATTCCGGCAACTTGTTCACTTCGTTCTATTATATAATGAATCAGCCCTCATCAAGAACTCTTGCCAAATCACAAGTCTTCCTATTACGTTACACCATATCAGAATGCCCAACCACCGTGGGCATTTATTCCTGCCGAATTTCTCTACCATTTTCTTCTTTTTCACTTTGGCCAATATGAGTTTACCTGGTACTAGCGGACCTTTCTCCTCTATCAATGTCCGGACAAGGGCTGGCATGTCCCATTCGGGGGGCAATTCTCGGAGAGCACTTTTAGTCTGCGCTAGTGAATGGAATTCCCCTTATCAAGCAAGAAAGAAGCGGCAGTCACTTTTTACCATGCTTTTTACCACTTTTGGAATCAAACTTCACAAAAGAGTCCCAAAACATGTTTAAACAACGATTTTAGGCCTCAAAAATCCCGCAGGACCTACCTAGGGCGTGTTTCTTAATCTAATCTTCAAACCGACATATAGTAGGCCTGAAACGGAGATTCGGAGTAAAGATTACGCATGTTTAAACACGACACCATCTTTTAACCAAGTGTTTAGCTTCCAGGAACACTAAAAGCACTCTCTACATCATCATATTAAAAACACAAAAAATAAGCATGAAAAGCGTGTTAGCGTATAAGAGGTTCATTTGCTAGAAAGGAAATCAAATATCAACAAGTACAAATTATGATATGGTTGTTGGATTGAGATGTAATGTTATTTGGTCCTTATATATGAAAGCACTCAAACTTAGGGATTGTTTACCAAAAATCTATCCGATAAGTGCTTACCGATAAAATTCAATACTATTAGTTACTTATCGGGTAAGATTTTAATCCACCAAAACGACACAATATGCAATAATTTACCAGATAAGCTTTTACCGTGGTAAGAGTCGTCGCCTTCACTTACCCGGTAAGACTCTTGTTCCGTGTCTCGCTCTTATCGGGTAAGATTTTTTGTCCTTGTCTTATTCATCCGCTAAAGTAATGTGATTTGGTAAGCACTTACCCAGGTAAGTATTTGGTAAACGACACCTAAGTTATTTTTAAATTTGGATCTTTGATAGATATGCAATATTTTTTCTTTTTGCTTCCAAATTTGGAAATTTCTTAATTTTTTTTAATTTTCGATGAGAGTTTAGCATAACTATTTTTTAAAAATGATATAATTGGTTAATATATTCTCATAATATATAATGATTTTCAGATTCTCTCATATCTTGTTGGCAAAAACATTTTTTTTTTGTCAAAGACCTTCCAGCCTAGTGGTAAAGGCTTGGGCATGACATAGCCATGAACCCGAGTTCGAGCCCTGGGAGGGGAGTGTTGGCGACATTTAAGTGGGACCATGTTTAGCCTCCAAAATTGTCGGGGATTAGTCGGGCTTTGGCCCGGACACCCTTAAAAAAAAAAGCATTTTTTTTCGTTGGTCTTACCATTTTTAGCTAATTTCCTACAACTTTTAACTTCTTTTTCAACACGCACATACACATGCATATATATAAAGGCTAAATATTTTATGAGAAACAAGAAGTTTCAATATTATATATGATTAAACACGTGTTGTATTAACAACATATAGACGCTTAATCATATATGAATAAACACACCTAAAAGAGTGTAATCATATATAATATTGATACTTAGCATTTTCTCAGAAAATGTTTAACTTCTAACATGATCCTTCTCTCTCTCTATCTATCTCTCTCTCTCTCTCTCTCTCTCTATATATATATATATATATATATAGATTATTTGAGAAATGGTAAATATTTGAGAAGTAAAGAAAAGAAGTGATCCTAGTCCTTCATACGGTCAAGATTGGATTTGACTGATCAATAGTTATGGCTGTGGCTAGTCAAAAATTATGGTATGAGAAAAACAGAGAGGGTAGTTTCGTAAATTTTACAAAAATTTGACAAAAGTATTCATATATGAACCTATATGATTCATAAATGAACTATATACTCATATGTAAACTCATGTAATTCACATATGTACAATTTTAATTGATTCATATATAAACTCGTGTGATTCACATTTGAACTAATTAACTCATTCACATATGAACTCTTGTGATTCATATATGAACTCGTGTGATTCACATATGAACTAATTAATTAATTAATACATGAACCTGTAAGTTCATATATGAATTGGTTAAATAGTTCACTTGTGAACTAATTAACAAGTTCACATATGAATCCGTTTGCTGCCTATTCTTAAAAGTTACGAAACTACTCATTTATCTTCTGCATACCTATGCGAGGAACTATCCGTTGTTTCACGGTCAAAGTCACAAATGTTGACCAGATGAAAGGTTAGGATCATTTCTTAATTATCAAATATTTATCACTTCTTAAATGAACCTTTATATACATATATATATACACACACACACACACACTTGGGATCATGTAAGACCAACATGTTTTAATGAGACCCGTGAGACTACCATTTTACACTAAACTTCACAATAAAACATTATGAATGTAACTTTTACAATGTCTTTATTGTGAAGGTTCGGATTTTATTTACCTTCACTATATATATATATATATATATATATATATATATATATAGGGGAACGATCAAATGAAAACCACTCAATTTGTAAAAACTGTAAAAACCTCATTCCACCAATCATAATTTTTCATTTTGTTTATTTTTTTTGTAATTAYGAGAGGTTGATTAATCATTTTTATTGTGAATGATGTTAATCATGGATATTATCATCTTCATTATTTTAATTTTAGAGAAATACATGAAACAGTTTCATTAATTTTAGAGAAATACATGAAACAGTTTCATTAATTTTAGAGAAATACATGAAACAGTTTCATTAAGTAGTATATGAAACAATTTCATAACCATATATGAAACAACTTCATCAAAAAAAAGTATTATATGAAACAATTTCACAAGATTAAACNAAAAAAGTATTATATGAAACAATTTCACAAGATTAAACAATTTCATGAAAAAATTTCATAAGATTAAACAATGAAATCAACGGATGAGAGTAGTTTTTATGGTTTTTACAAATTGAAGTGGTTTTCATTTGATCGCTCCTCTATATATATATATATATATATATATATATATAGGATTCGGTTTACGCGAGACCAGCTTGTTTTTGTGAGACCCGTAAGACCATATTTTTACATTTGAAACTTCACAGCAAAACACTGTGAAGATTGTTTTTACTGTGAAGATTCAACTTTTTTTTTTACCTTCATAACATTTTTTTGTGAATTTTCTTATTTGTATTAAATCAAAACAACTCATATAGCATCAACTATAGCAATATTGACAACCAATATATTTAAATGGTAGTATCATACCAATTTTGAATTGTTTGCATGTTACTGAAAATATATTTTTCGATACATGATATTATGGTACCACCTAAGTTTTATTTACGAACATGTTGCAAACATGTTTTACTAACATTACAAGCTTGTTACGATACGATTATTATGTTTACAAACATGTTTCAAGAGCATTACAAACATGTGTTGTGGGTAACTGTGGGTTTCCGGACCAACTTACGTGCACCGGTTAATTCTCAGACGACCATGAATGACTTGAAATCGTCCCAGGTGAATCTTCATAGTCACTAGGGCTTTGACCACAAATGGCTTAACAAGTTACTATTACAATTTTAAAATAAAACGTTTTATTAACTTTTTTATATATAAATCTATTGTTGGGATAAAACAGATAGAGTAAACTACGGGTTTGGTCCTTGGGGTTTGTTATTTGTTACGTAACTGATTCTTTATCTTCATTTATTACAAAATAGCCTTCTACCTATGCAATTTATACTAGATTTGGTTCCTCATACTAATGGTCATCCACTTGTCCTTTAGCTATGAGGGTAAATTGGTCATTTTAGCATATTTTTTTTCCTTTATTTTACCGTTTTTAGACCACATGAACCAAATGTATAATTTTATTCTATATTATATTATATTTATACTCTTTATATAATTATATGATGGTCATTTCTAACATTCAGATTGTTTATTCGGCACAACAATCAAACACCAGTTATCTTTTGTCATATACAAACAACTTTATAAATACAGGAATCTCTATCCATACACAAATATAATGCAAAACAAATCAAACAACCCTAAAATTTTCTTTGTGTTAAGTGAGATTAAAGATCACCCCTTAGATTTTTCTTGATCATTTCTCAGTTTTTCATGAGCAAAGTGTTATTCTGCAATTTATCACGCTACATCAATGTGCATTTAATATCTTCAAGTGTTTGTTGTGTTAACCTCATGAACGAACAAGTCTACAAATTAGCAGTGTCTTTTCCTCTTTCATGATACAACTTTTTATCGACTGTCATTCGTTTTTTATTTAAATTTTATTTCAGAATGAAGAGTGTTTATTCTTTTTACAAGTTTCTTTTAAATTCTATCCAAGAATCTTGATCTTGATTGTTACAAGTAGGATCGGTTACAGACGGTTACAGTAGGACCGGTTACAGCCGGTTATGGTAGGACCGGTTACAGCCGGTTACAAGAAACTTCAGGCCCGGTAGGGACCGGCTCGGCTTGGCTCGGCTCGGCCCGGGACCGGTTTTTGGCCATCACTAGTTATAACCCACTTCCTAAAAATATGGTTTGTGACTAAAATGTAACAGAAAGGTAGATTTTGGTTCATTTTTAAAATTTCACAAAAGATAGGGGGTATTTTTGCCATTTTTCAATTTCTTCAAGATAAGTGTCGTAAGACCACTTTATCTATCTATCCTCTTCGACCTTCCCTTCAACCATAGCCATGGCTGCCTCCCTTACTTCCTCCCTCTCCTCCACCTTCTCCACCCTCTCTCTCCGCCGCTTCTCTCTCCTCCCAACTCACCAACAACCCAACTCGCTCTCCCTCGCAAGACCCGCCAATTTCCCCTCCATCAGAGCACAATCCGCCGATGTCGATACTACATTCTTCGACAATCTAGACCCAGATGAAAACAACACCTTCGACCCACCGGAAAAGCCAGAAGACTACGTGCCTCCGACGTCTTTCGACGAAGGACCGCCGGAAAGCGAAGATGAAATCGCCGCCGCGTATGAAGAGCTGTATGGACCGGCGTACAGTGGGGTCAGTGTGTTGGGAAATGATGTGTATGTGATGGATTCAAAGGTGAAGAAGACGAGTTCGTTTGGGAAAGTTAAGAAAGATAAGATCAGAGATGGGTTTGAAGAAAGAGTTGTTCAGGTGAGTTTTTTCTTCTTCAGATTGGGGGTTATTTAAGGTACATTTTGACTTTTAAGGTCAAAGGAACTATTTTCGTTTCATTCATTTGATATTAGATTTAATCATAAAAATTGATGAACATGGAATTGACTTCATCATTATCACAGATACTGCAAATAGATTGATGTTGGTGTTGAATTTGCAACCAAATTCATATCAATTTTGCTCATAAAAGGAACCATGTTTGACTTCAAATGTCAAAGATTTGTTAGAACTTTGTGGATTATCTCTATGATGAATGAAGTTATCATCTAAAAGATGTAATTAACTGCAGTATCTGTCTCTCTATATATATACATATATATATATATATATATGTATGTATATCTATATGCAATTGGGATTGTGATTGATGCAAATAATTCGTAGAAATGTTTGAAGAACTGCATATTTTGGTTGATTTCATCAGTGATCAATGCAAAACCAAACGGACTATTAAAGATTTGATCATGAAAACAACTTGATTAGAGATTAAATGGCTGCAAAAGTGGATATATTTCTTGAACTGTGACTAGTGTTGCAGGTGAGGAGGGTGACCAAGGTGGTGAAAGGTGGGAAACAGTTGCATTTCAGGGCGGTCGTGGTGGTGGGCGATAAGAAAGGGCAAGTGGGTGTCGGAGTTGGGAAGGCGAAGGAGGTGGTTGCAGCCGTTCAGAAGTCTGCAACCAATGCTCGAAGGAACATAATCACCGTTCCTATGACCAAGTACTTGACGTTTCCTCACAGGTAATATGATCGGTTTTTCTTTCTTTTTATGTGCTGTAACGATCTTCTTGTGCCAAATTGTATATGTTAATAGTTTCAGCACTCATAACGTGGGTTGGGTGTTTTGCTGTGAAGGTTCGGTATTATTTTGCAGTCTCACGCACTTCTCACTAGCTAGGGGTCTTCATGGAAACAACCGCTCTACTCTGATAGAGTTCAGATCTGCATACATCCTATTATCCGGACCCCACCTGTGGGTGGGATATACTGGCCTCGTTTGGTTTGGTTTGGTTTGGTTTGGTTTGGTTTGGTTTGGTTTACTCATTATGCTCGCTTGTTTCCTACCCCCTAGACCCTACACCCTACCTCTGTGTGGGACTTATTGTGTCCATTGGTTTTTGGTTTTATATGTTGCTTAGAGGAGTTATCCAGTTCCTTATAAGGCAACCTTTGTTCTCTTCCCAACAAATGTGGGATCTCACAATTCACCCCTGGAAGCCGAGGGTCCTCGCTGGCACACCAGTCAGTTCCTGGCTCTGATACCACCTGTAACATCCCCGGTCAATTGTACCAGATATTGTTCGTTTTGTTCACACCTGGACTCACGGTTCTAATACGCGTCTGGTAGAGGGAATCAACGTATCTTTTTCTTGAATTCATTTGATTTGTAGTACTCCATTTTGTGTTTCCTTCTTTGTTTAACGTATTTCCCTCCCATCGGTTCCCGATGCATTTTCTATTTATTGTACTTGTTGCTTGTTTGCACACTCTCACCCGCAGTTTGCTCAGAACGAAGGATTTTGATTGTTAAATCTTGGGATAGGTCTGATGGAGACTATGGGGCAGCCAAGGTGATGCTAAGGCCAGCATCTCCCGGTACCGGTGTCATTGCCGGAGGTGCCGTTAGAATCGTTTTAGAAATGGCGGGTGTCGAAAACGCTTTGGGAAAACAACTCGGGAGCAATAACGCCCTCAACAACGCCAGAGCAACGGTCGTTGCGGTTCAGCAAATGAGACAGTTTAGCGAAGTTGCTCGTGAGCGTGGGATCCCGATGGAAGAACTCTGGAAATGATCAAATCGCACGTGTATGAATGAACAGTCTGTATTATCTTTTTGTCGATGTTATTACTCATGTTCATTTTCTTTTCTTCGATTGGATCGCAATAGAAGATATCGGAAAACGGTTTTTTCGAGACATAGGACCATGTTCGGTACCCATCGGGTTGTCTTTTGGAGTGTCCATAGCTCATATTGTTTGTGTCAATTTGTGCGTACATCGACTAATCCAACAGTTTATGTAATATAGATCCATTCTCTCTTTCATGCTAGAGACGTGTCGACGTCTATCTCTCAAGATACAACAACACAGATAATAACACCAACATGAACGGATTATCACGATAAACACAACCGTGTCTTCTCTCGATTGCAATTTACAAGAACCACGATCGAACGACGAAGAGGAAGAAAGCTTTCTAGAAATCATATCGCGTCAAAACACGTATCTAAAAGCAATATTATACGTAGAAATCCAATTGTCGATTTAACTTTATCTAACAAATGAGATTGACTTTTCAAAATTATATATGGGTCGGGTTAGGTGGTTTGCTACATTTAAACAACTAAATTGTGACGGTTTTGAAAAAGTGCAACCCAACTCTTACGAGTTGGGTTGATTGGTTGATACCTTTTACTTTGTATTTCATGGTAATGTCAATTTTTACGGTATCAATTGAAATCTTGCATAGTTTTGAAAGGAGAAATAATTAAACCATAATACCTGCTAGAGATGCACAAAAAAGGTCAAGCTCGAAGCTTGTCCATGATTTAGTCAGAAAAAACCTAGAACTGGTGAGATCGGAGCTCGAAGCCTAGTCTTGACTGGGCCTTAAAGCCTGATCAGGCTGAATTTTGGGGCTAGATCCGATCTGAAAAAGTCTTGAAAATCCGTTTAAGCCTAAAAAAGTCCGATCGGACCCTTTTCAACCTCAAAGCCCAGTTCGGCCTAGTCCGTACCAATAAAAGCCCAAGCCTTTTTTCGGCTCACATATAACAACCTTGGAAAGCCCGGGCCCAAACCTTAAAAAGTCTGAGCCTTGTGCAACTCTAGTACATGATTGACAAATTCTCGGTCTTCTTATTTTTGGAATAATTATAGTTACCAATAGTTGGCAACTATTGCACTCTTAGGGGGCGTTTGGTTGGTAAAATGGAATTCAAGGGAATTGGAATTCATCAAATGAATTTGACTCTGAGGGAAGTTGATGGAATTTGACCATGCCTTGTGATTGCGTTTGGTTGCATGGAATTGAAATGGAATTCTTAACGAATTGGATTTTTTTGTTTGGTTCACGAAATTCAGGTTTGGGATCGGAATTAAATATCAACAAATGACCTTTTATAATTTTTGAATAACGGAATTGGATTAGTTATATCGATAGCTAGTTATCTTGAATCGATTCCTTGATTACATAAGTTGTCTATCAATCTCATATAGATGGAGAAATTACGAGGGAGAGAGAGAGAGAGAGAAAGCGTCCCAGATGGAGATTGAACCAGAGATCAATTAGATGAGATAGTAGACGCAACGTTGAATGAATTTAGATTAAGAAAGAAATTTGTCAGAAAGGAATTGAAATCCGAGGGCATTGCCGCATAATGTAAAATCTGTGAGTGAAGGAAATTTATTGGAATTGAAAGGATTCCATCAATTTTATTCCATGAACCAAACATTTGGAATTTGGTCAAAGGATTTTGCCATTTCAATTCCTTTCAATTTCATCCAAATCCATGAACCAAACATCCCCTTAGTTATACATATTTAATTTTTTTTTATTATGATATGTTTGGTTATATATGATTTAGAGTTTAGGGTTTAGGGTTATATTGACGTGTACAAGAAGTGCACTTGTCAACCATTAGTCATAACTCTCTCCATTAACTATTGAGTGTGAAGGATCAAAAACTGGCCATCTTTTGTGTATACAAAACAATATACTAACTTTCACTTCTGAACTTGCAGATAAGTAAATAACTAATAAAATTCTATTGCATTTAAATTTAATTAGTCTCTATTCATATTATAACAATTTTAATAGCTTGGACGGTAGCGACTTCCCAAGTGATGTCAAGCTTCATGAGCCCCGTACGAGAAAAAGTACATGGTCAATCCTCGATTCTGAATGTGTCTTTGTCAGACTTAAGTTACACTAACAATCTGGGTATTTTCTCTGTTATAATAGTTAATGTAGTTGTTCTCTCTTTGTGGATACTTAACATTTATGGAAATGCCCCTGTCTCATATCTTGACAAAGAATTATACATGAATCATGATTCAACAGGTATGGCAAAACAGATAATGTTGTATTAAGTATAATACTGTTATTGACAAAATATTGTCTAACAAATAATATACATTATTGTCTGATGCTTAATGCCAAAGAATATCGACATCCGACAACAAAGAGATTGAAATAGCATAAACATATGTAAGATAAGTTATACACAAAAAGAGAAGATACAAACCACAAGGGTGGTGCCTGATTGGTTGATTGGTTTGAGCTTGGCTCCAAAGGTCAAAAGTACCAGGATGTCTCAGGTTCAAATCCAAGGAGAAATAGAAATCCCCTTGTGGCCACGGAGGTTCAAATGCAGTGACTCCGAGCTATCTGCAAAGCWGGTGGTCGTTCTGGGATTAGTCGGCTCGCATAACGGGTTGGATAGCCAGGTTAATAAAAAAAGATACAATAAAGGTAATTAATATGTATAAGACTCAGTTATTTGTATATTTTCTTTAGGAAATCTATACCTATTTAGGGTGCATCCACAAATAACTGAATCTAATACATATTAATTACAGTTGTATTTGGGCAATGGTTGTATATAACATCTCAAGCCTAAAGTAATTATAATCAACTTAAGAACTCACATCAAAGATATCAGTAGCCCACTACTTAAGACATATGAAGGGCTCAAAGTTCTAATTCAAAACTGATGTGGGATGGTACGTCAACCATACAAGTTAAATTATGTTTTAGCCTATTAAGATTGAGCAATGAGAAGACCCCCTTTTGATTTACCACAAGCAACTAAGCAAAAGTGTTACCTATGAGATAGTCTATGATTCACAACTTTCATCCTTGAGATCAAGTTAAAACATGCATAGAAAGCAGTATCAAGAAAAAGAATTGCATCGGTATACGCATAGTTCTATTCTTCAATATCAATAAAATCATGCAGTAAAAGGACCCTCTACAATGAGGCCTGCCAAAAACTATAGAGTTGTGCTCATTGCCCTGAATTATGAAAGATGTTAACGGGCCAATCCAGAGCATACGATATACATATAAAAACTTAATCTAGATGAAACAAACAAAGAAACAATATCTGCCTTAGATTTAAGATGTTACTACAACCTTGCACATCTTTAGGCTTGTTGTTGCATTCAAGGATCTTTACTACATATTGAAATATTCAAAAATAGCATTCAAATCCAATGAATCTGGGTCAAGAGGCCGACGTGTTGTTGCATTCATAATCCTCATTGATCTCTGCGATGTTGGATTATTAGCAGTATCCCTCCCGATTTGATTCCCACGTCTATTAACCTGCAATAAAAGTAAAGTTTCACCTATATTGTTAGTAATAAAATTCTATGATTCTCGTATAAACATACATATTAGCATCATACCCTACGCAGTGACTGGCGAGAAATTCGACCCACATTGTTCCTGTTATGCCTAGGATTGCTCGAAGGTTCTGGAAGTGCCCATCCTCCTTGAACATTTGTATTCATATAAGAAGGAAGAACACCATACTGCTCATCATTCCCTCTAGCACCCAATATTGGTTGCCTTAGTATGCTTTCAACGTTTCCATGGAATGGAAATAGTTGGTTTGATGTTTGCCCCATAGTATATAAGTAAGAGTTGTTAGTTCCCATATCATTGTAAGTTTGGGCTTGAGCTTGGGCCTGGGCCTGGTAGGCCTGGGCAAGGGCTTGATCTTGGGCTGCTTGGGCTTGAGCTTGAGCCTGAGCCTGAGCCTGAGCCTGAGCCTGAGCCTGGGCTTGAGCTTGAGTCTGGGCTAAGGCCAAGACTTGAGTTAGGGCATGGGTTTGAGCCTGAATTTGAGCCTCAGCTGAAACAGAGGATTCTATCGTGACCCCACTATCATTAGATCTATCATTCATCCTTTCAGTATAAAAGTACCAGAATATGGACCACCAGTCAACCAAAAACCCATCGGGTGGAGTAAACCCTGAAAAAGGGAAAAGAAACACAATAAATCACATATAAATCGTTGAAAAACTAACTCGGAAAATATGGAAATAATTAGAAAAAATGGTATAAAAATAATAGGTGTTCTAATTGCTACGATTCTCAGGACGGTCATCAAATAATACAGACAGATAAAGACAATGTGTGGTAAGAAAAGAGTACGCACCAGAAGAGTTATCGTCGATTCCAGCCTCTCTGGCAAAACTTTCAGCGGATTGATTCATGTTCATTTTTCTCATGTAGTCAAGCATAAACACATGAAGCCTGAAATACGAGATTCGAAAAATAGAATAACAAACAAACATAATCAAACATGGTCACAGAACGAGATTGATAATCAGTGTCTTCCCCTTCAATATCTAAATTAAACAATATGTCTTGGAGAACTAATAAAGGCTCCCCCTGTTCTCAAATAATAAACATTTGCCAGTACACTGTAGTAGGGCAAAATGCATCAAAACGCAAAGAATTTTGCTTTAGTTTCTATTTAGTGTAACAAAAAAAATTTTATAATTAACATAAAGTTTCAAATTTTCTTATTCAGTACCTATCGTGACCGGCGACCTGATGTTCTTTTTTTTTTTGAAATATATAATATTTATATACGAAAAATAGAACAAATAAACTCACAAACCCTCCTCACCTTTGGTGAGGTTTGAATCTCTGATCTCTTAGGAGGCCAAAGACTCACATAGCGCTAGATCAAAGGCCCTTTGGGACCTGAATCACCTGATGTACTTGTAACATTTAGTAACGTGGATGTCAAGTCTTCAAGTGATGTTGATTGAAAAAAATACGACGCCAGATCAAAATGTTATCAGTAAAAAAAATTATTAATTAACAACTTGACATCAACATCACTAAAATTTAGAATATCAACATATTATCAGTAAAAAAAGGGTACAAAATGCAAAAGTTTGAAACTTGTTTTGTTACAGTGATTGGGGAGAAAATTTTCATCACACTAAATATGAACTAAGGTAAATCTCGTTATTTTGAAATAAACTTGTGGAAGAAAAACTATATCGGTTTTAACCGGGAAGACGATTTGGGCAGCTAGGATGGAATCGAAAGCATTTCCGCTAACTACGATGATAGGGGAAATGGAAGACAGCCTTCAAGAAGATTCACTCGCTTTGCGGAATCTGTGCTTGTGGAAATTATCAAGTAATCGAATTGAGAGGTAGATTACATATAATCGTCTGAAACTTTAGAGAGTTTTTATGATAAACAAGTAAAAGGAAACTAATAAAGAGCAAAGAAGAAAACTCACATACGCAAACCATCGGAATCCATAACCGCAACAAATGTAGTCCTTCCTGGAATTTCAAAATCAAAAAACCGCATAAAATAAATAAAATCCCGTCAAGAAATTAGAATGCAACCAAAACGTGGTTTCTAACCTGAAATTTGAAGTAACGGGAACCGGTTTCCGAGAAACCCTAAATGTTAGAAAGAAATTGAAGCCCTAGAAATTATATGAAATTGGTGAATGATGGTTTAAAACAAATAAGAGGGAAAAACATAGTATTTAGTGATATAAAATTAAATATTTACAAAAATATACATTTAATGCCTCTTAATTGTATTAAAATTGTAATCTAGAAAAAGGGCAAATTGTGGTAACTTTTAATTTGATTAATTTGAAAATATTTATTAAAATATTCAACTTTTGAAAACCGTTATAAGAAGTAAGCGGTTTTATCAGGAAAAAAATTGACGATTAATATCATAATAAAATCGAGTTTATAAAGCATTAAAAATGTTTAAGGGGATGTTTGACAGTTGCTGAATGATTTGGTGCAGAATGATTAAGTGATCAAAATGATTAAGAGGTTCTCATGATATAGTGAAAAATGAAATATAATTGTTTGGTAACCGTTTACAATTGAAATTAGGGCGCTGAATGGTTAAGGGGGGCTCATGATACAAAATCATTCAGAGGGTTTTAGAACCATTAAGAAGCAAACTTTTTTTTGTCTAACAAGATTCACCTCTTAATGATTCAGAAACTGCCTCTTAATGGAACTATTAAGAGATAACAAAAAACCAATCCCTAAGTGTTTTGGAGGTTATTTGTTTACCTTTTAATAGTTCCATTAAGAGGCAACCTCTGAATCACTAAGAGGTGAATCTTGTTTGACAAAAAAAGTTGTCTATTAATGGTTCTAAAACCCTCTGAATGATTTTGTATATTAGGCTTCTCTTAACCATTCAACGCCTAATTTCATTATAAACAATTACCAAACAATTATATTTCACTGTGCACTATATCATAAGAGCCTCTTAATAATTCTGACCACTTAATCATTCTGCACCAAATCATTCAGCAACAGCCAAACAGTCTCTTAATAAACAACCTTACATAACTCAAGGTTGTGGAACCAAAAAATCAAATGTCATATTTAAAAGTGTTACTTACAATAAGTTCATAAGACACTTAGGGATTGTTTGTTTACCTCTTAATAATTTCATTAAGAGGCAGCATCTGAATCGTTAAGAGGTAAATCTTGTTTGACAAAAGAAAGTTTGTCTCTTAATTGTTCTAAAACCGTATGAATGATTTTGTATCATGTGTCTCCCTTAATCATTAAGTGCCCCTAATTTCATTGTAAACAATTACCAAACAATTATATTTCATTTTGCACTATATCATGAAAGTCTCTTAATCATTCTGCACACTTAATCATTCTGTACCAAATCATTCAGCAACTGTCAAACAACCCCTTAAACATTTTTTATGTCTTATAAGCCTGATTTTATTGTAGTGTAATAATTAAGTTTGGAAGGCATTTTATTTTTTGTAATAACATTTTTTGCAACCTAATTAAAAATAAGTGAAAATACTTCACTATTTATTACAATTTCTTTTTGCAAAATACAACATTTTGAGTTATTTCATGCATCTATACTATATTATAAAACATTTGACAAAAACTCTTAAAAATATTTTTTTATGTGTAAAGTACTGTTTATTGATGCATATTACTTAAAATTCAATATCATAAGTAGAATGTGTATGAGTACATCTTATTAAAGCTCAATGTTTGAATTCGTATAACTAACTGTAGATAAACATAATCAAATAAATGATAAACATCATTTTAAATATAAAAGATATAAAATATAATTAAGATAATCATTGAGTTCTAACAGAATACTTAATTATTATCTGAAATAAATTATTTTATTAAACCAAAAATAAATTAGTTCTTTTTTAAAATTCAATTATATCGTAATAAAAAAATTGAATTAAAGATATTACACAAAAAAAGGAATTTTAAATAGTTAATTTGATATTAATATTTCTTATTTTTATCAAAATTTTATAATATCTTCAAATTTATATTTCATTCAAAAATAAAAATATTTTCTTTTTTTCAAAACCAAATAAAATCGTATTATAACATTGACAGACCCAAAATATAAAGCGAAACATTAAAATCAAGATGTATATCGCTACATTATACGAGTACCCTTCTAGTATATATATATATATATATATATATATTTTCATTTATGTTACTTTTTTAACCTTAAAAGTAGTAATAGGTACTTGAAATTAACAGTATTAATTTTGTTTTTAGAGTGTAACTCGGTTGATAAACGGATGGTATGAATTTGCCAAAATATAAGATGGGTCATGGGTTCGATATCAGCCCCTGCTAGGCGCAACCACTGAGTGAGGCAAAAAAATGTCCTTTTCAGTAATTTCCTTTGATGTACTTGGAGGCGGGTTCCATGGAACCTGTTGGCGTTGCTGGTAATCAACTTTTTCCCAAATAGTATTAATTTTATTTATTTATTGTTTTAATAAAATTTAAAAATCTCCAACAAATTCTTCAAAATAAAAAATTAAAAAAAATTAAAATATCTAAAAATATTATATTCAACTTCAAAAGTTTCTTATTTTAAAGATTACAATATTAATTATATTATTAAAATATTTAATACATTTAATTAAATATTATTACTTATTTCTACACATTTAATTTTAATACTTTTTAAAGGTAAAATATTAAATAAAAAATTCACTTTCCTAAAAAAATATTATTAAAAAATTCTTCAAATTTGTAGAATTTTATAAAAAGGAAAGAGTTGGGTTTTGGTTTGACAGAAAATAATTTTTTAAGTAAAAAAAATAACCCAAAATATCACTTTTCTTTGTTTTAAATTTTTTATTAGAAATGCTATTAAATATTTAATTAATAGTCGTATATTTACATTAAATTGTTTTTTATTTTAATATAATTATAATGTTTGATAGACATGTTAAGTTGATAAAATAGTTTTTTTTATTCGTTAAATATCTAAATAATATTATTTAAGATGATTTGAGATCACGTGAAACCAGTTTGTTTTTGTAAGACCCGTGCGACCATTTTTTTACACTTGAAATTTTACAGCAAAATGTCATTCAGATTTGAGCATTTGCATTAGTTTATTTTTTGCAATTAAAATACTCTTAAACATGACATGTGTTATCAACGAACTCAGAATGTCATTCAGATTTGAACAAAATTGTAAGTTTTCATATATGCAATTTAAAGTTGATACAAAACCAGTACCGACAGATAAAATATAATATCAATTAAGTTGGTACCAAGTATGTTTGGTTGGTATACCATATATGTTTTTACAGATTAATTATAATTAGTTGGTACACAGTATTGAAAAAAAAAACTTGGTATTATACCAAATCCACCCGGATCAGTTGTTTTGAATATTCTCCAATAAAAAAAGATCTTGTATATCAGAAGTAATGTGAGTAATATTAAAATAGAAAAAAAATATATTTAGGCTTTGTTTGTTTATTGAAAAAAACTCTTATTAGTCTCTTATGTCTGATTCGATAAGATGTAGGGTCATTCAGACTGTTTGTTTTTTCAAATTTTTCAGAGACACTTATATCTTATTGTACTCTTATCTGATTAGAAGTAAACCAACATTTTATTTGCCTTTTTTGTTCTCGAAACATTTAGTAACGATGTTTCTCAAACGATTAACTTTAATCAATCATTTCTCTCAATTGATCATTACCAAATCGATTTCTCACATTTCTCAATTGATGTGTTTTAATAGGATTTAAATGTGTTAAATACCGTTAACGGCATATTTTCGTTTAAATGAATGTTAATTATATAATTTGAATATAAATTTAGTGATGATGATGAATAAATATGTGAAATTGTATAAATTATCTATAAATTCAACACTATAATTTTTTAATCATAGACAATTTAAACAAATTCAGACGATCAGTTTACAAAAACAAACAGTATTACTGATTCAGATTTCAGACTTCAGTACCATCTATTGTTAATCAGAAGTGAAATAAGACTTTAGATTTCAGCACCTCTTAAATAACAAACGTCACATTAACATATCTCATGTGTAACTTTATAAGCAGAGTCCACAAAGTATTCGATAAATTACACTTTCATTTATTTGGGCAAATTAAATTTAAAATGAAATGTAAATTATTTTAATTATTTTTCTTTATTTTTTATTATTAAACTTTAAAAACCGTTACTTAAATATTTTAATTTTTAGGGTAATTTTAGAAAAAAAAAATGTAACACACTAATAAAGTGTAAGGATTTTATAAATGTTTTCAAATTTTGATGGTTTTAGTCATGATTATTTTAACTTGATTCTTATTTTTGGTAACGTATTTTTAAAACTTTTATTTTGGTACTTAAGATATAATGTTTTAAACATTTAAGTATGTGGGTAATCGGTTGAATACTAACTTTAGATTAAAAAAAAGACTAATTTTAGAATAAAAAAATCTATGTCACTAATCACGTCAGCAAATAATACTGAGTTGAATACCATATCATTCGCCAAATCAACATGATAACCAGTTAACGCTTCAACCGGTTACATGGGTACTTAAATGTTTAAAACTTTACATCTTAGGTACTAATATAGAAGGATTGAAAGTACGTTACACAAAATATGAATCAAGTTAAAGTACGTTGTTTTTTTATCTAATTGAAAAATAATGTTTACTTATTGATTTTATTTTTATTTTAAGTTAAGTTAATTTTTTCTTGTGAATAATAAATATTTAAAATTTATAACATTAACTATAATTT